ATTTTACCCACCTCAGAAGGATGGAAGGTTGAGTCAACCTTGAGCCTAGCGAGATTTGAACTGTCAAATTGCAGGCAGGCGGCAGAAGTAGCCTGCAGTACTGCTGTCTAACCACTGGGCCACCGTGGCTTTAGTTTATAAGCTACAGTTAAAGAAGATATCTGGAATCCTGGGATGATTTCAAGAATATAAGTAGCACTGAATCCAGTTAATACGTTAAAAAGTATTGCAGCCGCTGCCCAAAGCAAAGCAAATTTATATGTTAACATTTCTCAATTGACATCATATGCATCTGTTTAGCTTCTCAGAATTCTCACTATGTTTTGAGCTTTGTCTGGTCAATATATATTCTTAGTTTCAGTTCCTCCTGTTTGACATATCACTATCATTCTTCTAACCAGTCTTGAAAATACTTCTTCCCTCCAAAATTTCATCTGTTCTTAATTAAAATACCCAATGCTGAGGCTAAGTACTGCCATAATGGGTAAAAATTGAGAGAAGAATTTGCCAAAAGGCAGAGGAATTAAAGGCGTATAGATGGACCAAGAAGAATTACTTAACGGAACAGAAATTGCTCAATACATTTTGACTCAAACCATGCTTCTGATTTTAATTCTTGTTAAATAGATCATAAACGAAATAATGAATCACCAACCACAAGGTAGAACCCCATGAAAGTAATAAAAGGTGAACATATAAAGCAAATGAGCAGGATTGAATTAAATAGATTCTCAAGTGAAGAACTGATAAGTAATAGGTGTAGTTTACTTTGTCATTGCACCTCGTACAACGAAATCAAACACCATCTTCAGTACACATTATGACCATGAAAATAAACACAAATACACATCCTTCACACTCCACACATTAAACCGAAAACCCCCAAGTAAAATATAAATAGACGTAAACAAATAGAAAAGGGTGGGGGGGGGGAAGGATTAACGTTTTTAAGATTGAGAAGATAACATCCCTACTTTTATTTTTTAAAGCAAAAATATTATGGATTGGACAACAGGAACTCAAAAACCAGTTTTGAACTAAGGAAGCTCCTTACTGTCACCAACATATTGAACTGGACCCAGTGGCAGACTGGCAACCAATACAGCTCGCGCAACAGTGGTGTCACTTGGGGCACCCTAGGGCCCCGAGAACTGTGCACGTAGCTGCATTCTGCACCTGCTGTATCTTCTGAATACCCTTCAAGGGTAACCCAATATAGTACACATTGCAATAATCCAAGCAAGAGATGACTAGGGCATGAATGACTGTGTGCAGGGCCTCATAATCAGAGGTGGGTATTCAGCAGGTTCTGACCAGTTCTGGAGAACCAGTAGCAGAAATTTTGAGTAGTTCAGAGAACCAGCAAATCCCACCTCTGACTGGCCCCGCCCCCATCTATTCTCTGCCTCCCAGCTGATCAGCTGGGTCGTCTTTGGTTGCCCTGCACAGGAGAACGGAGCTGGAAAGCAGGTTAGTGGGGTGGGGAGGAAATGGGATTTTGCAGTAACCTTCCCCCTGGAGTTGGGTAGGAATGGAGATTTTACAATAAATACCCTTCCCCTGTCATGCCCACCAAGCCACGCCCACAGAACCGGTAGTAAAAAAATGGAATCACACCACTGCTCATAATCCACGTAAAGGTGCAACTAAGAGTACTATACACAGTTGTGTGAAAAACTTCGTAGCCACAACTGCCACCTGCTCTTTGAGCAGAAGTCACAAGTCGGAGAACTCCCAGGTAACAAACCAGGTCCGTCTGGGGTAGAGCAAACCTATCCAGAACTAAAGATGAAAAAAAAAACACATTTAGATCCTTAGGTCCAGACCCCATCTTGCCAGGGGTCTGGTGAAGCCTGTTGTCCCCATTCAGACCCTTACAGCTTTTTTTTTTTCATTTTGTTCTCCATTCTCCCTTGATGTTGATGGATGATTCAGTCTTTCAGCCAGCAAAGAGCAGAGTGGTTTTTGTTAGATTATGTAGCAGAAATTCAAATACGGAAAGCACACAGAGATGACCAATTCAGCAGGATTCATTGACTTCTTTATATACATAATAACGAGTAAAATGCACAACTCCGATAGCTGATTCTTCCAAAGTAACAATGAAAACACAGGCAGCAGTTTCAGAGCAGAGACTAGAGCCACACCCAGGCTACTTTCAGTTTCACTTTCCGATTCAGGTCTCATTGGCTGGTCTGTTGCTGTGCCTGTTCATTGGCTGAATTTGTTACTAAGCTCTATTCCCGGTATGAATATTCCTCCGACAGTTTTTTCTGCTAGGAAAATAAACAGAAATTCCTCATGATGTGAAAGTAGGAAAGAGTCCAAAAGAATATAATGTCTCAGCCAGTATCTCTCTCTCTCTCTCTCTCTCTCTCTCTCTCTCTCTCTGTCTGTCTGTCTCTCTCACACACACACACACACACACACACACACACACACACACACAAAGAAAGTTTGGTTTCTTCTAGGCATATGAAGAGGAAACCAACAAAATCTTGGCTACCCAGAAATTCATTTCTTTTTATTTTATTTTATTTATTTAATTAATTTATATGGCCGCCTACTCACTCGTGGCGACTAGAGGCGGCTTACACAATGTGAAACCATATTTAAAACAAAAAAAAACAAAAAACAAAAAACTAACGAATCAAATTAATAAAGTACAATAGAACGAAATCTGGAATCATCCCCCAACTCCCATCCCTCGCCCCGATGACAGCAGATCACACTCACCATTTGATGGGCTCCATCCTACTGTGGGTTCCCCAGGCCCCTTGGCAAAACCAGGTCTTCGGTGCCCTTCAAAAGAGTGCTAGAGTGGGGGCCATTCTAATCTCTGAGGAGAATGACGTTTCAGGGAGAGGGAACCACCACAGAGAAGGCCTTTCTTTTGGGCCCCACTAGGTGTTATCTCCCTCAGGGATGGGACTCACAACATTCCGTGCCTTCCCGCTCTAATGGGTCGGGTAGATGTGACTGGCAGTGACGGCCATTCTTGCTGAGCTGACTGGTTGCTTAGCAACCATTTGAAGTTACAATGGACCTCTCCAGAGCTAATTATGACCTGCTTTTGAAGTTCTGATAGATGCCACACATCTCCATGGCTGCCCTTCCCCCAACCTGCAGTCCCTTGATTGCATTTTGGGCCCAAGGCAACAGGTTTGGGGTCTATGACAAATCGCCACAGCCAATTCGCTACAGCCAACTTTCTGTGGCCAACTCGCTGCAAGGACAAGACTTACACTAAGATCAAAGGAATGGCGGAGTAGAATTATTAAAGAAAGGGTGCAAAAGGAGGGATAGAATGAAATGTGAATGGCACAAATTGAAATATTTTTTTTTATTTGCTTTAAATAATTAAATAGAGTTGTTAAATTGTCTTGCAGCAAGCCATCCCACAATCAAATGGTGCTGTGGCTTAGAGGTGGAGCTTTCGCCTCATAGTTAGGAGACTGTGAGTTCGATCCTAGGTAGTGGCTGATATTTCTCTCTCTAGGCACAATATCAGCTGCAAGAACTCTGCATTGGTGACGGGAAGGGCATCCAGCCAGTAAACACTTAGCTCCATTCAGTTGCCCTGTCTCCACCCTGATGCAAGGGATTACAGGGTCATTAAAACACACACACACACACACACACAAAGCTGTCCCACAGTGAGTTGGCTGTGGTGAGTTGTCCCATTCCGACAGGTTGGTATTTGCAGCAACCCAAGGTCAAGTGACTGCAACTTTTGGTATTTTTTTGCTGGTTTCAGGTGTTTTACATCTGATTTCTGGCAATGAATGCCCATAGGAGCAAACTGATTTGCTGAACGATTGCCACATTTGTTTAACAAATGCTGCAAAACACAGCATAATATTGGGCACGTTCACATGGTGATCCATTTAATGACCACCACAAACTATGTGTCAGGATTCTGTCAAGGGTGACAGTGAATTATGTGTTTCAGAATCGGCTAGCTGTCAGGATTCCGGCAGTTACCCCAATTAAATCATGAGTCTCAAGCCAAACTTCTAAAACTTCAAAGGATTTATTAGGAGTTAACATGTCGACATGACCTGGATGTAACCAATTCTGAGACACATAATTCACTGTCCCCCTTGACCCTGGTTTTCCACCACCCCTCTGGGTGTATCATAATTCATATTCTCCAACAAAACATGTCCATAGCCAAGAGTCCTCAATCATGTTCTCCAATTAGAGATTTGCGTGGCAGAAACTTCAGTCGCCTAGTTACAATCTCTGAAAAATATGAATGGAATGCACTTTCGATTCCAAACTGCTGCATTGCTCTTTCAAACTCCTTCCCCAAACTTCTTTCTGTTGGCAACTATAAAACAGGCATAGAAATGTTTTATGAGTTGACACTATGAAAATTAATTCCAGGCTCAATTAGAGTTGTAGGTCAAGGATTACCTGTAACAGGTGTACTGTTTTTCTATGATGTATGCAACGATTAACTTTTATTTTTCATTTTCTTCAAATCAGCTTTTGGGCTGGAGCATGAAAACTACAAGGAGCCCAGCATAATCGTATTCCGAATGATCCAGTCTGAAAAAGACACACTCGTAGATCAAGAACCATCACGAGGGAGGAAGAAAAACTATAAAGTGAATGGAAGAAAGGAATCTTCTGGATACAGTGAAGTCCTTTATCTCCCAGCCCAGGAAGCTCACCAACAAGAAAAAGAAGGGAAATATCTCAAATATGGCAAAGAAGACAAAGAGAACACTGATTTCATTAAATATTATCCAACCCAGACAGAAGAGAAACAATATGAATATCAAGAGGATGGGCAAAGTATCAGCTCGACCTCCTACCTTGATTTACATCACCCATCGTACATTCAAGAGACACCATACGCATTTATAAATTGTGAGGAGAATTTCAGTTTCAGTGGTCACATAATTTCCCATAAAGAGGAGAAATCATATGAGTGTGGAGTGGATTTCAGTAAGAAACGATTGCTTATTTTACCTCCCCAAATTCCTCCAAAGGAGAAACCCTACAAATGTCTTCAGTGTGAAAAGACCTTCACTCAGAGAGGCAACCTTACTATACATGAAAGGATCCACACGGGGGAGAAACCCTACCAATGCCTGGATTGCGGAAAGACTTTCGCTGAGAGAACCAACCTTGTCACCCACAAAAGGATCCACACGGGGGAGAAACCGTATATATGCCTGCTGTGCGGAAAAAGATTCAATCAGAGCGGCCATCTTACGAGACATCAACGGACCCACACGGGCGAGAAACCGTATACGTGTCTGCAGTGCGGGAAGAAGTTCAGTGGCCGTTCCAGCCTTCTGAAGCACGAACAAAGACACACGGAGGAGAAACCGTACTGGTGTACGGAGTGTGGGAAGAGCTTTCGTGACGTTGGTGTCCTTGATTACCACAGAAAGATCCACACGGGAGAAAAACCGTACAAGTGCACGGAGTGTGGGAAGAGCTTCACACGAGACTCTCACCTTGTGACCCACAGAAGAATTCACACAGGAGAGAAACCCTACCAATGCTTGGAGTGTGGGAAGAAGTTCCACCTGAAAAGTAGCCTTTTGCAACATAAAACCATTCACACGGGGGAAAGGCCCTACCGGTGCTTGGAATGCGGGAAAGGCTTCAGTCAGAATAGCACTCTTTTCCAACACAAATCCATCCACACAGGGGAGAAACCTTACACATGCCTGGAGTGTGGAAAGAGTTTCAGTCAGAACTATAAACTCCTGCAACACAAAAGGATTCACACGGGGGAGAAACCATACAAGTGCGAGGAATGTGGGAAGCGTTTCAGCTGCAGCAGTGACTTCAGCTGCCATAAAAAGATTCACGTAGAGGAAAAACCATATAAATGTCCGGAGTGCGGGAAGGGTTTTAATAAAAGGAGTTGCCTTACGTCTCATAAAAGAAAACACACGGGAGAGAAGCCGTATCAATGCACCGAGTGCGGAAAGAGATTTTCTTATAACTTTGTCCTTAGATATCATCAACAAACCCATAGTGGAGAAAAACCGTATCAGTGTTTGAAGTGTGGAAAGGCTTTCAGTAGATGTTCAGTTCTTAAAATCCATATAAGAATCCACACGGGGGAAAAACCATATAACTGTCCGGAGTGCGGAAAGAGCTTCCGTAAGGACAGTGACTTTATTCGTCACAAAAGGATCCACACGGGTGAAAAACCATATAAATGCCTGGAATGTGGAAAGAGTTTCACGCAGAACGCGAACCTTATCAAACACAAAAGAATTCACACAGGAGAGAAACCCTACAAATGTGCGGCATGTGAAAAAAGCTTCACCCAGAAAAATCACCTTTCTCAACACAAACAGACCCACAAAAGAGAAAAATCCTAAATTGGGAGCTTTATTCCAAATGTGTTTTTCTCCAAAAGTGACCTTCCTGGAAAAACCATAGAAATATTTGGTCTGTGGTATAATGTTCATTTGGAAGGGTAGCCTTATCAGGCCTAAAGGAATCCATGTGGGAGAATCATAAAAATGCACAGTGTGGGAAGAGATTCAAAAAAGATTCCGCCTTTATTTTCCAGAAAAAGCCTTCTTTTGGGAAGAATGCCAGGAGGAATTTTTCAGGAACATCACTGGAATAGAATTGGAAAAGAAAATACGATAAATCAGGGGTCTCCAACTTTGGCAGCTTTAAGACTTGTGGACTTATCTAACAAAATGAAATTCAATGTAGAGAAAAGTAAAGTCTTACACTTAGGCAAGAAAAACCAAAAGTACACATATAGACTGGGTGAAACCAGGCTCAATAGCAGTAACTGTGAGAGGGATCTTGGAGTCTTAGTGGACAACCAGCTAAATATGAGCCAGCAGTGTGCAGCAGCAACCCAAAAAGCTAATGCAATCCTAAATTGTATTAGCAGAGGGATACAATGAACATCAAGCGAGGCACTAAATACCACTCTATAAAGCCTTAGTAAGACCACACCTAGAGTACTGCATGTTTTGGTCACCACACTGTAAAAAAGGATGTTGAGATTCTAGAAGAAGTATAGAGAAGAGCAACCAGAATGATTAGGGGACTGGAGACTAAAACATACGAAGAATGGTTACAGGAAGTGGGCATGGCTAGGTCTAGTTAAGAGAAGGGCCAGGGGAGACAGGATAGCAGTGTCCCAATATTTGAGGGGCTGCCACAGAGAGGAAGGGGGTCAAGCTATTTTCTAAAGTGCCTATAGGTCAGACAAGGAATAATAGATGGAAACTGAACAATGATAGATTTAACCTGGAAATAAGGAGAAACTTTCTGACAGTGAGAACAATCAACCCATGGAACAGAAGTTGCCTTCAGAAGTTGTGGTAACATCATCCCTTGAGACTTTCAAGAAGAGATTGGACTGCTATTTGATGTAGGGTCTCCTGCTTGGATGGGGGTGTGGACTAGATGACCTACAAGGTTCCTTCCAGCTTTGATTATCTGTATTCTGTGTCTGTATTCTGACTTCAACTCCCAGAATTCCTCAGTCAGTCATGCTGGCTGGGGAATTCTGGGAGTTGAACTCCACAAGTCCTAAAATGGCCGAAGTTGGAGATCCCTGATTGAAAAGGAATGCTTAAAATAAATAAAAGATTGAAAGAGTCCCAAATTAGAATGCTGTCAAAATAGCATGGAGTTGTAGTGATGGTCTTGGAAATGTTCAGCCTGAATGATTTACAGTTGGCAAAAGATATTCAGAAAAGGGGCTAATAAAAGAAAATGATCCATTGGAATATCTAGTGCTCTCTGGATTTGGCCAAAAGAAGAAAAAACCAGAAATGCTTTTTAGCTTATGATTGTATTGAGCAGTTCCTGGTATGTGGGAGTCCTTGGTGCTCTCTGAACTTAGTTGTTTTGTCGCACATGTTTCATTACCAAATTGCACTGATGGTATTATCTAGTATGGTAATGAAACGTCTACAAGAAAAAAACAAGCTCCGAGAGCACCAAGGAGCCCTGAGCTACAAATATTCTATTACTTGCTGGTATTTTATTTTGCCACTGAATTTTTGAAATGTAATTCCTCAAGACCTAAAAGTTTAATTTCATTTATTTCTTCATTTTTTGGTTGTACATACAAAGAAAAAAAGGAATAATGATCATATGAATAGAGGTATAAAAAAATAAAAGACAGTGAAAAAGAGGAACAAATTTCAATATAAGTGGTGAAAAACAGATGGAGAGCTGAGAAGTCTTCAATTACCAGCAGTTTCCGTATCAATTGTCCAATACATTCTATACATTATTAATAAGCTACAGCAACACTATAGAGATATCCAGTGTCTAGTTAAGATGTCTCTATGAAAGTATTGTGAATTAGCACAATGTGCAAATGAATTTGAATTTTACCTTTATTGTTGTTGCATTCCACGAATACAAAGAAATTTGAAATGATGGAAAAAGTTTATTTAAGGGTCTGTTGTCGTTATATAAACCTAACTGCTCTGAGAGCTTAAGACAGGTTTTAAAGCCAGACTTTGATTACACAAAAGACCTTTTTGTAGCTAAATTATGCTTGATATCACTGTTACTTTGATGTAGATTGGAATTGATGCAAGAGGAATAACCTTGTCACACAGGTATCAAACACACAAGGTGAAATGGGCAACTAACCAGAAGTGGTATTCAGCAGGTTCTGACCAGTTCTGGAGAACCGGTACTGGAAATTTTGAGTAGTTTGGAGAACCGGCAAATAGCACTCCTGACTGGAGATTTTATAGTATCCTTCCCCTGCCAAGCCCGCCAAGCCATGCCCACGGAACCGGTAGTAAAAAAAAATTGAATCCCACCACTGCAACTAACCCCTTCTTCCACTGGGTGTAACTCAGTTTGGAGCGAGGGTGCAGTGATTAGAATGCAGGTACTGCAGGCTGCTTCTGCTGACAGCCGGCTGCCTGTAATTTGGCAGTTCGAATCTCATCAGGTTCAAGGTTGAGTGAGCCTTCCATCCTTCTGAGGTTGATAAAATGAGGACCCAGATCGTTGGGGGCAAGAGGCTGACTAGTTTTACTTTATTGTCATTGCACCTCATGCAACGAAATCAAACACCATCTTCAGTGCACATCATGACCATGAAAATAAACACAAACACACATCCTTCACACTCCACACATTGAACTGAAAACCCCCGACACCGCACCAACACTGCACCATACAGAAGAATTCAACAGAGCTCCTGCCCTGGGATAGAAGCTGTTTTTCAGCTTATTTGTCCTTGTTTTTATTGTCCTATACCATCTGCTGGATGGTAATAGTTTTTTAAAAAAGGGGTTCCCAGGATGAGATGGACCTTTGAGAATGCTTTGAAATTTCTTAAGGCAGCAGGAGCTATAAAGCTCTTCCAAAGATGGGAGAGGGCAACCAATGATCCTCTGGGCAATGACGTTAACCTTCTGGAGTGTTGTTGTCATGCTCCTATTGAGACTGATTCCAAGGGAGAGGAGGAACAGCTGACAGGGAGTGGAGGTATGGCTCCAGAGGTTGTGGAGGAGGCTGGGGAAGGGCAGAGGCCGGCTGGGCAGTCAGAGGAAGACCCAGGCCCATCCCCCCTCCATCCTAGGGCACAGCAGGGAGGAGAGGATAAAGGGAGAGGTGTGAATGGTGTGGTCTAGGGGGAGGAAAGGGCCTTGATCCTCTTCATGGGCTGCAGCTGTGAGAACTGGTTAAAAGGATGGACATGCGGATGGGCCAGTGCTGGAAACAAAAGCATGGAAATATCTCTAGTCTGTGGTTCCTCTCTGAATTTGGCGTCCTTCCTGGTGTGTGTTCCAATATCCGTGGATGTTTTCAAGCCCTTACCTTGCCTGCTTCCCTTAATTGCTTCAGTGTGGTTTGTGGGGTTTTTTTCCTCTTTATAATTTATAGGCTTTTTTTTTTTTTTAGTTTAAACGGCATTTCCTCCTTTTTGTACCTGCCTGTGGGGGAGTTTTTTTGTCTCCAGGCAAGGGTATTTGGAGCTTTGAAGCAACGTGAAGGAAGAAAAGGGGCTTCACCTGTTTTTTGTGACTGTGTTTATTTTGTATCCCACCCTGGGTCATCACAGCTGTCCAATCTGTTCCAGTTCCATGGAAAGAGGGGGCCATTTTGCACATCGGAGGGGACGTGGTTTTCCATGCTGCCTGCATCCTGTGGATGGGGCATTGCTATTTTGCGTGGCTCGGTGCCGGTCCATGGATTGGTTGGGGTGGGACCCTGTTTTAGTCCAGTTGCAAGACAAAATCCTCCCTTGAGTCCAGAAGAATCCCCTTCCAACCTTTGAGAGAGCCCTGCCATGGCTTAAGAACACAGGGAGCCCCTACGACTCACGGCCACAATTGGGCGCAGAATTGATGTCGCTAAGTGAGAGGTTTGCTAAGGGACTTTTGCCCCTGTTTAACGACCTCCCTTGCCACCGCCATTAAGTGAATCGGGGCACGTGTTAAATTAGTAACCCGGGTTTTCAATGAATCTAGCATCCCTCCATGGATTTTTTTTTTGTTCCTTCTCAGGAAAACTTATGATGACCCCGTCATAAATATGAGTCAGTTGCCAAGCGTTCTAGGTTGTAAGTCACTTTTTTTAAAAACAGGGCTATTGTAACTTTGGAGAACGGAGGAAGGAACCGTCGGAAGTCGAGGACTGCCTGTATTACCAGGAGTGGCCACCCGCAAGAGGGATGGACGCAGGACACCTTTTAAAGGGGGGGAGGGGAAAAGGAGAGCTTAGCCTCTCTAGGAAGAGGCTCTCGCTCGCCTTCCGGGAGAGCGTTGGCCTTTCCGTTTTTCCAAGGCGAAACCATTTGGGAAAAACGGAGGGGGGGGGGAAGAAGAGAACATTTTATTTTTCCCCCCCTCCCCAGGGAAGGGGAATTCAGGGCGGAGCGGCTGGACGTCTAGACTGGAAGCTGGCCGGGTAGGAGAAAGGGGAAGCGGCAGCCCGAAGGCCTTGCGGAGGAGGAGGAGGACGACGAGGAGGTCGGGACACAGCGCCGCTGAGCCCGAGGGGGAAGGACGGGACGGGACGGAGCCACGCAGGCTCAGAGCCCGAGCGCTTCCGCCGCTTTGGGGCTCCCGGGAGCTCTGGCAGCTTCGCCCCGGGCTGGCTGAAGCCCCGAGAGGAGCAACAGCCGAGCTCCCGGCGGGTGGAGCGGGGGATCTCGGAGAGGTTCCTGGCCGGGCTGCCCCGCTCACGTCTCCTCGGCCCCAGGAAAAGGGAGGCAGGTGAGGAGGGGCTGTCCCCTCTCTGGAGGATCTCCTGTTGGCGTGGTTTCCTTTTAACTAGCAGGGAGCAATAGAAGAGACGTTGGTTTCCCTTCATTTTTCAGTCCCAGGCTCCTCTTTCCCCCCTCTCCAGTTTATTCCACAGGAGGAGGAGGAGGAAGGGAAATCCAAGGGAATTCCCATCTCCAGCTATGGATAGGACACCGTCCAGCTTTGGAGACCCCAATGAAGGTTGGAACTGAGGCTTCCCACTCAGATCTCTTCCATCCCAGGAGCGAAGGCAGGTGAGCAGGTGAGGGTTTATCCCCTTCCGGGAGGAAGATCCAGTTCCCTTGCCCGGCTCAAAGGCAGGTCCTGTCAATGGAAGATGCTCTGGTTTCCTTCCATTTTCAGTGCCAGAATCCGGTTTTTCCACCCAGATTACAGGTAGTCCTCGCTTTACAACCATTTTTAGTGACC